ACAACTGTGCGAACAAATGACATATCTCGGTTGCCCAGACCGAGGAATGGATTTTGGTTGAGTCACCCTAACTAGAGCCCACAAGGCAGCGGAAGGATGCATGGTTTTGTTCGGGGACCCCCACCACAGCCTCCTACTTAAAAGTCCGAACCGCGAGGCTGTGGATGTTGGGATCTTCTTGGGGGGTCTGTCCCGCAGTCAATGACTCTAGTCTAACTCACTTTGCTACAGGAGGCCGGGCTCTCCCAAGGACACATGGATTAAAGAATTACTGTCTTACTTCTGATGCAGCTGCAAAAAACAAGTGTCTTTTGAGCAGAACCGGACTGTGGTTTGGCAGTATCGCCGCTTCCATAAATATGGGCATGCTGTTCACCTGTGAGAACTAGCTCGCTGTCTGTACACCCTTATCGCAGAGCACAGTATGTCTTTAACCCCAGACCACCTGGAATTTCGATTGGTCGTATTACGAGGTCTCACTGCTCTTGGTCTTACTGCGCCACTTGGGCCTTCGTTTCACGGTTTTACCTTGTAAAACAAAGTCCCATCCAGTGTAGCCCGCGGGATCATCGCTGCATTCAAGCTTGACCATCACGTTACGTGACAAATTTAAGTCGGGAGTCACTACAGTCACTGCAGTGCAGTCCTATGCCCAGCAGGTGAGCATTGTCTGCTTGAACCAAAGTCCCAGTGAGAGCGTGTCTTGGAGCTGGTCCCCAAATCACCAGCATACTTTCAAACAACTAGACTCCAACTTTCGCTTGGTGGTCACAGAAAGTGCGCATACACCGGGCACACTAACATTAGCACAGAATAATTATGAACAGATTGAGCAGAGGGGATTCAGCTCACATTTTTGCCGTCCGGATATTTCACAGAATCCCTTAAAGATACTATTGAACTTTTTTTACTGATCACACTCTGTTGTCCTCTGCTTTCGGGATATCCTCAGCTATACGGCAAGCCGTTTTCATCGATGGGATACTAGGATTTCAACATGCAGTAGAGTGCGAAAAACAAATTCAAACAAACAAACGCACTAACTGTCAAGGTTCCCGATGTGGAACTTTGAGTGACGCGTAGGTTCGACAATGCCGAATATCGAAAGGAAGAATTGCATTCGAAAGTCTATGGCACTCAATCGTCTCAGATCGTAGCGACAACAAGTGCGCAAGTCTGTCACTGTCTTGTCAACCTCCGCGAAATGGTAGTTCAGTACTGTCGCGGTCGTCCATTCCGATGGTATTCTCGTGATTCTCATTGGCGGTGCGATCACACGGAACTCAAGAGAAAACGAGTAAAGGCAGGCTCAGCAAACGGAACACGGACGCGCATGAATCAGTAGGTCAGCGGTGTACACTTAAACACACACGCATGCTCATGCACAACTATCGGAGAGGATGGCCTTCGTGGTAAGCTGAGCGACGGTTACAAATGAGCAAAACAAGTGGAGATTAAAAGTACATGGGCGGAGTAACCAAATGAATTATCATGAGGTCAAGTTAGATTCAATTCTACCAGGTGACCATACCATCAAATTCATCTTGGCGATTGCGAACAACTCTGAAGGAGTCTTCCCAAATGTCATCTGACGAACTCCCGCTAAAATTGGTGCAGTATGAGCCAGTTTGGTGTCATTATGCGCGATAAAACTTTGCAGGCTGTCAGAATTTATGCATGCGGCCCCGCACATCAGCGGGGAAAGTTAAAATTCTTTTCAATAGGATTGTCATCCCACCCAAGCGGTTCCATTGTGGTCGTGGCTAGACTCATAACATCTATAGTTACGAGTACACAATGATTTCGCGGGGTCTATCTATAGCACCTTTATCTATTACTAGTTGATCCGTACTCTTAATAGGCCACTATTTCAACCATAATGATCCCAACCTATCACTTTTCTGGACAGTTTTCGAATCAATCTGGATACCACGAACATTTAGGTTGGGACAGTGAGACTCAGTTTGCCTCTACCAAGTTTTATTAATTCAACACTGGCCTGGATTCATCCTATACATTCTACAGGCGTACCATCCACAATCAAAATTCCAAGCACAGCGTCTCACTTACAGTTTCAAGACAACGTATTGATGCCTACGGAGGGGCCGACGGATGATGTCGTACATGGAGTTTTATTCTCCTAATGCAAACAGCCTTTGAGAGGGCTGAAAATCAGCATTTGGGGGTTCACTTGGTCGGAGGTTACGCAACGCCGCAGATGCTATGAAATCCACATGTACCAACGCATTAAGCCGAAAAAAAGACCATTAGGCAACAGTGTTTAACCATAATCACAGCGCCAAATAAGGATGTTTAACTCCGGTATTCCCGTACTTGCACTAGAATTGGGCGGCTGAATCCTAATACGCGTCGAAGTTTACATTCCAAAGAGTCGAAGGCATATCACATTTGACGTAGAAGTACAGGTAGGCCACTCTGACCAGCCAAACACCAATCACCTCACTGACAATGACAAACTGCACGGAATCGAGCTAATCCCGTTTTCACCACCGCCACATTCACACACCTATCTACTAAATACATTTTCTCCAAACATCACATCAGCCTATTCGACAAGAGTGTCTCTACAGAAGTTCTCTGTAAACCACGCAGATCACCCCACGTTTGTCCCTTTATTATCCTCGTAGGGGAGCAACGTAGAGGCCTTCAGAACGTTGCTCACCGATTTTTCCAATCTTTTGATCACTCGCCCTCAGTCCCCCACCAATTATTTCTCAATTAACCCGGGTGCATCACGCGCACGCACTTGGGCTGTCTGTTAGAAGTTTTCCCATCTTGGCTTACCTGGATTTATGATATAAATTACACACTTGTCGGTGTCGAATGGACGTCGTGGTCTTGCTCTTTTGCTTCTTCTCGGACCTGGACTACTTCGGACTACTTCTCGGAACGGCAGTAAGTTTCCACTTCTGGACTGCCGCGAGCTGAACAAGAAGATTGAGTTGTGGCTTGCGCCTGTAGACAGCTTCGTCAGCTAGCTGGGATTTGCGCCTCAACGTTGTTCCCGCTGCGTTCCATACTATCCAATACAGTCTTCTGGAATTATGTTCACCCTGGCCCTGGACGGGATCCGAGATTAACTCCATACCTAGTAAATTTGCCAGTTCGCTCACAACTCTTTGGTTCCTGTTAAGTTCACAATGATCATTGCCGCTCTGTGAAATGGACTACAAACTAGCGTGTGAACTGATCATTTTTTCGACACTTTGTCTACATTTTACAACAGGTTGGGCATCTTTGTAAGACGCCTGTTCCGTTCCAAAAGGTTAGCAGTTGTCTGAGGTGGTACTTGATATACTCCCGTTTCCGCTGCCTGACGCTTTGGGCAGCTGTTTCGCGACAACAAATGTTGATGCATCGAGAATATTCGGTTGCCTGCGCTTTAGTGGAAGTTTGCTAATGCTGTCCTGACCGACTCCAGGTGAAGCAGGATCCGAATGAGACTCATTCGTGTGGCTACAAAATCTGGAAGATTTTGTCAATTTCCGTAAAGTATTTACCTATTGACCGATAGATTCAGTGGCTAAACGGTCTCACCTAGCCAAATGAAGTCTCTGAAACATGTCATTTGCTCTTCCCAGACAACAGTCTTTAAGTACAGCTCTACCGATGAGTCTGCAGGATCACTTCTTGGTTGGAATGTCAGGAAATGAGGACCACACGAGTAAGTGCACTAACTGTATGCCGGAGCACCTATCATCATTTCTTTGTCAAGAGGAATTCGCTCAGAACCAAAGCCCCCTCATAACTCCGATTACATCGCCACCAATCCTTAGCTTATTTCTGTGATGTGGCCAGGTAGATATAAGGTGGGTCCGGTTGGAGCGAGACCATAAGCTTCTGCTTTCCCAACACGGCACTGTCTCCAGAAATCGTTAAAAGGCCCTCAGTGTGTAAAAAGCATTGTTTTCCGTTCTTCATGTTTCGTCATATGCCTAACGACATTCGCCTGCAGCCGGTCCATCGTCTAGTTGGCCCTACATCGTTTCCGTCAATCAATGTGTGTTCAAATTCGCTCATTTATTTCATCTGCAGAACCAACACAAATTCTGTCACGAAGAAACCGGACCTTACCGTGGTGTGACAGTTTGCGCACCTCAGCGATCCATTGAGCTATACTGGAAAGTGTCCCCGCAACACTCACAGAGTCAATGGTTAGAGGCCTGATAAACACAGTCCCCTGGCCCTCCAGGTTGGGGGTGGAACATGTGGCAACTTGTTCCGTAGAAAGGGTAATGCATTTGCATTTCCCGCCAAACACCGCTGCCTTGAGGTTAGGTTTTTGAGCCTTTGGTTCAGGACCCTAATCGTCCTCCTGTCTAGGTGTGGGCACCCTGGCAGTATCTCAGCCCAGATTTTCATTAGCCGATGGTGTTTTCAGCTCGTAAAACTCTGGTTCACCTTAACGATTGATGTTGGCAAGGGTGTGAGCAAATGTGATCAACAAATAGGGCTATCGAATGAGTACAGAACCCTACATCTCAGCTTATATTTGACTGTCTTCCTCAAGGTCAACTTTATTTTCTTATTCTCGTATAATTTTGTGAATTCTCCACTCAATTGTGCTGTTCCCCTCTCTTAGTCCCTGATTTACTCGGGACCTTCCCATACACGTCTTGGAACCTTTCTTAGCATCTTCATAGGCCGTCTTTCAGATAGTTGTCAGTTCATATGTAGTTATTTACGGGAAACTTTATCAAGAGCCGTAATCCAACCAAAAGCCCAAGGTTTCTACTCACAGACTCACTGTAGCAAGAAGAAGCTATTCCCATGGTCTGAAAACGCCATATTGTTGATCAAAACAAATGACCGTATAGGACAAGAAAATATGGAACTATTGATTGACCAGAGTTACACGTAGATTCAAATGTTCGAAATCGCCCCTTGGGCTCAGAAGGAATACGAGACCAGCTCAGTACTCAGTTCGTAAGAGTGGTTGCGATTAGATTAAATTCTCAAGTGAAAAATACCGATGATTCCAGGTAGAGATGCACCGAACGAACTGCATCAATAAGCAGAAAAATAAACAAGGACAAAACAACGTGAAGGAAGATAGAATCATCTTAAAGATTGCAATTGTACCCAGCAATTGTTCAAAAATCGAGTTTGCGATGACCAGCAACACATCTGATTAACATGTTCTCTACCGTAGTATACTAAATGCGTAGCAAAAGTTCTGAGGGAAGGAACAGTAAACAAAAACTACAGCATAAAACAAACAGTGCCACAAATAGTATGAAATAAGGATCGTTTCACTGCCTGTGGAAAAGCGGGAAAAATTCGGGGTAGTGCGCGTATTCGAATGCATGAAGGTCGATGGTATGTTGGGCGGACTCTAGAGTCCATGAAAAAATGTGACGAGTTGAGCTCTTTCTTGGCAGTATCTCAGTGAGCCTATTCATGGTGGGAGGCAAATGAAATGCCTATACTCATGTGATCGGAGATGTGCGTATTCGTTTTCTTCATTTTAATTAAAAGATGCTAAAAGAACACAAAACCTGTCCCTGGAAATAAAAATCGGACTTTTCCAACAACGACACGCTTTAACATCACAGAAAACGAACAAACAAAGATGTGGATACAAATATATCCTAGAAATGATCCGCTTGCAAAGTGCTATAATTTTCGAAGAACTGGTGATCGGTGTTCACTGCTAATTCCGGCCTCAGTAGTGAACGGTGTGGATGGGCTTACGAAACGTTGTGGCTGCAGAAAAGACGCCGGTGGTAAGGGACAGTCGGCCAACAGATGAGTGGAACTTCTACACCGGTAGCAGCACTTGCGCATCGGTTCCATGGGGCAAAAAGCTGCTTTATGAGATGCGTACTGACCACAGTTATAACAGCTAGGAGAGGAGATAAAGCACACATAACGTGATAAGTGCAACAGAATCGCAAAATGAGGACGTGCACCATATGAATAGTTGGATCTCTGTTCCACGTGTAAGCAAGATATGCAAATAGTAGCCAATACACAGGTGTGACTGATAAAGACCAACCATCGTATTCAGATATTGTAAAGTTGCTTACAACCAAACTGGAGCCAGCGTTTCACGTCAAATCTCTTTTTGTTTGATATGTTACCTGTTTTTGAAAATACGTGTATATTGCTCATGCCGGACGATTCTCAATTTTCACCAACTGTATACTCTGTCAGTCTTCTGGTTTTCAAGTACTGATGCATTCTTGACGTATTACTGATGTCTCCATCATTGTATACGTGATGGACAAGTGGACACTCTTGTGTATATCGGTCAGGGTAACACCGTAAAGAAGTAGCAATATCCTATGCAAATGCTTTTGTTTCATCCGACTGGTTGCTCGCCAGGTTGTCTCTACATCAACATCACGCTGAGTGTTACCAATGATCACTCAGCTGTAAAACCCTTTCAGTGCCTAGCTGCCATGCCACCCGATGGGAGTACGAGGGCTGGGATACTGTCAGGTTGCCCAAGCCTAGACAGGAGAAGTCAAGAGGCAGAGGTCGGGTTCGAACCACGGACATTCCGGTCAGGAAAAAACTGTGCTTTTTATATGCCACGAAAACTTGCGATCTCCAGACAAGCTAAACTCAGATGAGCGTTTTTGTGTCCCGGTATCAATGTGTACAACACTCTCTGTTTAGACAGTCTTAACTTAGACCGATCCCACCGTTTCTAAATGGAGACAGGTTTTAGAATAGGCTTCTTTTTCAAATTATGGTTACTTTGCTGACCTAAAGCTGTCACCTTGATATGACGGTCAGGCTTGAATGCATCGATGATCACGCGGGCTACATTGGCTGGAACTTCGTCCTACAAGGTGAAACCATGCCACAAAGGCCACAGTGAAGCAGTCACACCAAGAGCAGTGAAACCTGGTACTACGATTGATCGAAATATCAGGCGGCCTGGGACCAAAGAAATGCTGTGCTCTGAGAAAAGGGTGTACAGGTTGCGAGGCGAACAGCATGTCCATATTTATGGAAGCGGCGATTCCGCCAAGCCAAAGAGTTCGGTTTTGCTCAAAAGACACCTGTTATGTGCAGCTGCATCAGGAGTGAGACAGTAATGTCTTACTCCATGTGTCCCCGGAACGGCCCGGTCCCCCGTAGCAAAGTGGGTTAGAATATTGAGTCGTTGGCTCCTAGATGGGTTCCCCAAGAAAAGCCTAACAACTACGGCCTCGCTGTTCAGACTTTTGAGTAGGAGGCTGTGGTGAGGGTCCTCGAACAAAACCATGTATCCTTCCGCTGTCTTGTGGGATAAAGTTGGGGTGACTCAACCAAACTCTATTCCTCGGTCTGGGCAATCGACAGGTATCATTTGCTCACACAGTTGTTTTTCTACCACTGTCCCTCTCCACCTCCTCCCTCCTCCCCACCGCACGGTCATTTATCTGACCGATGACCCCATAATACCATAATAAATTAATGAGATGCTTTCTACATAGGAGCTTTTATTGTCCATAATCTATGTCAAATTGACAAGCAGACAATGCCCAATTAGAACTTATACTTTCTTAAAACTGATGTATGCAGTGTCTCTGAAATACACACGCACACAAGACCCAATCATGGTTATGCATCTCAAAACTCCGAGGACGAAGTTAGCCCTTTCACATTTCTCTCTTCGTGTTTCCAGTGATCAGAAAGCAATGGCTAGTGGAATGGTTCAGGAGCTGAGCTCAACCCCAGAACTGTACGCGCTTTGCTGGATCGGATTCCAGTGAACAGTAGTCTTGGCTCCGTTCGGTAATCCATCTCAATCAAACTCAGTGCATTTTAACATAAAATACGGTGCTTGTTTCTAGTGTTAGAATATACCACAACGGATCACAGTTTTGAAGCGGTGAGGATTACTCTCTATCGAGCGTTATCCAGGTTTATTCGTCAAGCATGAAACACTGACATTGTATTCCTTTCAGACGACTTAAATACTCAATTAGGTAGTCTGAGCTCCTTGGAATCACAGTTGGACGGTCGATTCTAAGTCGATGCTCGCCGCACAGACAACGGAGACCGACACCTTCAGTTGTGTGCTGATCGTGAACTGTTTCTGGCAAGTAGGAACTTTCAACATAAACACTCGCACCGCGATACCTGGCGGCCACCAGCTGCAAATCGATCGCGGTTCAAGTTGGACCATGTGGCCGTCATCCACCGGTGGAGAGCCACAATTCAAGACTGCCGTTCCTTCTGGGGCACACCACATCATTCCGATCACGCCATGGTGTGTGCATGTCTGACAATTCCTTTCCCTTCAGGCCCTCGCAAGCAAGCAAGAAGCATGCCAATCCATAGCTTCACAATATATAGCAAGCAAGAAGCATGCCAATCCATAGCTCCACAATATCTATCTGAGCTAGCCCAACAACTCTCCACAGTAAACCAATACTGCACTGGCAGTGAGCATGTGGATGAAGCGTGGCAAATTGTGGAAGAAGCTGTTAGCGGCGTTCAGTGCTGTCTGTCTGATTTCTCCAATTCGACCACATGATCACTGGATGCCATCGAGATTGCTACCCATGACTGATGCCAACAAATTCATACCAGAAGGCTAGGAGTACGACGGCGCACGTAAATCCCTCAAACGCCAAATAGTGAAGAGCCTAAGGAAAGATCGAGAGCTCTGGTGTACATCGAAAGTCGAGAGACGAAAAAGGCTTTTGCTACCTGAAACAGCCGTGCTCTACATCACTTGATCCGATCGACTAGGAAAGGAATAGTTAGTGAAACGATTAGTGTAAAGGATGGTTAATTAATTCACTCGCGAAAACCTCGTCTGGGAAGATGGGCCGAACACTTCGAAAAACAGTTCAGTTGGCCTTCTTCAACAAAACCTCTGGTGATAGTGCATACGCGTGAATGGACTGTAAAGATCAATTGTCCGTCGAAAGGAGAAATGAGGCATGAAACATTCGTACTGAGACGTGAGAAGCCACCAGGACCGGACGCTCTGTCTCAGCCCTCTTCAAAGAAGACGGAGGACCGCTAGTGACCCATCTAACAAAGTTTATTGGTCCAATAAGGAACGAAGAGAAGGTGTCAGCGGAATGGAACATGCCGACAGTTACCCCTAGCTCCAAAAGGGTACGCGGACGCTATGTGGAAACCACCGTGGCATCAGCCTATTAGCTGTGGCATCGGAGGTGCTCTCTGGCCTTCTCCTCCGATAGTTGATTGAACACAGGGAGAGGCAGATCCACGAAAACTAAGCTGGGTTCCATCCTACAAGGAGATCGATTGATTAAACTTTCACCCTCCGACAGATTCTGGAACAGCGACACTGCTTCTGGCAACCAACAATGGTTGTTTTTCTTGAGCTGAAAGCTGCCTTTGACTCTGTGGTCCGTCAGGCACTATGTTAGTGTATGTGGAGCAAAGGTGTCCCCCATAAATACTTGATCCTTCTCAAGGTGCTGTGCGCATACTCCCGCGGCGGCCGTGTGAACGTCTACAGAATGGCGCTGTGCGCCACCTCCCGCGGCCGTGTGAACGTCTACGGGATGCTCTCGCCTGAGTTCATCACATCACGTGGTGTCAGGCAAGGCTGTCCTTTCTCATCTCTTCTCTCAAATTTCGTCACTGGTACGAATATAGAAGACTCACTACCAGCCTCTAATGCCTGTGAGGCCGAAGTGCTCCCGGAGCATCTGCTCACAGATAACGAGTACGATGACGACATAGCTCTTCTTAGATCTGACCCCGTGGTAATGCAAACAATACTTAATAATCTAAATAATTCTGCCTCACGGTTTGGCATGAGCTTCACACCTGCAAAGTGTAAAGTGCTACTGCAAGACTGGGTGGGCTTGAACCCTAGCCTCATGCTTGCGGATGAACCAATTGAGATAGTAGACAAATTGTTTCACCTGGGCAGCTGTTCAGTCTCGGTGGTCTCGCGCAAGATGATATTTCCATCCGGATGGGGAAGGCCAGAGCAGCTTCTGTGAATCTGCGTCCCCTGTGACATAGGCGTGACATCAGCTTTTCTGTCAAGGGTCTAGTCTGCAATGCTGCGATGCGCTCCTTATCACTTTATGACAAGGCTGCCCTCTCTCATCTTTTCTCTCCAACATCGTCACTGATGCGATTATGAAAGACTCGCTAACAGCCTCTAATGCCTGTGGGACCGAAGTGCTCTCTGGGCATCTGCTCACAGATTTCGAGCAGGCAAACGACACGGCTCTTCTTGGATCTAACGCCTTCCTATTGCAAGCAATATCAAATTATCTAAATATTTCTGCCTCACTATTTGGCGTGTGATTCGTACCTTTAAAATGCTACTGCAATACTGGGTAGGCTCGTATGCTCCGTATGCTAGTCCACCAAAAGTCTATTTTCGCACAACCACACGACGTGTGGAAACAAGCAAGAGGAGGTCAAACAATGACTTGGCAATGAATTGTGAAACGCATTACCAGAAAACTCTGCTGCGCTGGTCGCTGTCCTGTCCTTCGATGAGGACCGCGAGACGGGACACATCAGTGGTTGGAGACGTCAGATAATGTCCAGTCCAACTTATACTTCCCAGCTGTTGCCTATAGTACATAGCTCCCCTCCTAATCTCCCCAACTAAAAAATCCACTGACACCTTTATATTGACAAGTCAATTAATCCTTCCGAGGCAAAGACCTTTTTACGAGTCACCATTTCAGCCTTACCGAAATCGTCTGGTTGGTCTTATCACAGACCGTCGAGGATGAACTCCCAAGGGTCTTCTCATGCTCGAACTTGGAACAGCCAGTTGGGGTCGAGATTCTGTGCGTGACAAATGTGGGTATGTAAACGTGGGAATCTCTTCGTATGGTCGGACATTGAATGCTTCCGGGCCCTTGGAAGTTAATCGTATCATGAAAGAAACTGGGAAGTTGGGAGTGAGTTCCGGGGTGAGAATTCCGCGAATGTTTGACTAGAAAAAGCAGAAAAGTTGAATGTCGGTCAAACTTTAATACTAATAATAGTAATAGTGGTAGCAGTAATAATATAATATGGTGAAGCTTTAATTCTGGCTGGATTCCCTTTACTATAAACGGTCGTTTTGGAAATGAAATTTTACCTGATGATCCTACCTGGTAACTGAGAATTCAAGAGGACTTAGTGATAAAGGTGCGAGAACACCAATCAAAAGGTCCGTGATTAGATACCAACCCTTGGTTTTCGGCTGTTCTTGTCGAGACTTCGGTAACCTGGTAGTGTCTCTGTCCTAGTACCTCTTTCGATTTGCACTGCAACTATTCGCCGAGAGGGTAATAGACCGGAGGGACGCTGCCTTTCAAGTCAATCACTGTGGCTGGCTTGCAGCTCAGTTAGAGAGCTTTCATCGAAAAGTTTCCCTGAATCATATCGAGCAAAATGTTTTTCATCAACGCACCACGCACGAGCTCCAGCGTTTGGGGGTAGCCCTTTTATCTACCAACTTAGTGTTCGGACGTAGTCTGTAGTCTCTCCGGGTACATCTTCACGGTTGACAGCCTGCCTCTTCCAAGTTCAAGAGAAAATGCTCTTCGTCAAGGAAGGGTTGAACTTTAATCGAAATTCAATCGCGTAAGCGAGGTCAGTCTATGCCGAAAGCACTATTCGATCCTTGTTACGAATCGCTAACTGTGCGCATTTCACGAACAGAACGAGTAACTCATGGCGTATCGTTGAAAACCATACCATTGAGCCACGAGCGTCCAAGCAGTATGGTCGTTAACTCGCACTTAGACAGATTACGACACTACCTATTTCAGTCATTCAATTCACATAACTAAATGTTGAGTGACTCCTCGAATGACGACTTTCCATATGGAAGATTCACACAACTTGTGAAATGCTCTTTTTTCTGGTCTACTTATTCCATATTTGAAAATCTTATTCTAGCTTTCGGCCTTTGCGGCCAATCTGTGCCATAAACTCGGGAAGTATTGCACAGTTGCTTCAGTCTCACTGGAGATTCATCGCCTACAAAGATCTGACAAATTTAAAGGATTGTCGCGGACTCGAATCTCCTTGAATGTTCACGGCTTTTTAGCACAGAGTGACCTCAAGCACAAGACAAAATCTCAACTGGGGTTTTCAAATCACATATTACCAGCCAACTACAGTAACCCCTTTCTGCAGAGGAAAATCCCCCTCAAGAGTGACCAAATTTGATCAGTACCATCAGCATGCCGTGGAGCAGTGTTGATACAGATAGGTCGATGTAGCTTGTTGAATCACTCTTAAAAAACGTTAAAAGCGAGCGCCGAGAGGATCCAGATCTTTTTTTAATGTGGCAAACAGTGTTGCATTAAGCAGATGATTGTCACTCAACCACTTGATCGTCAGGCAATAACTGATTCGTACCTGATGAAAAAATATCTCCTCTTCTGAAGGATCCACGATGATGAAGCCAAAATGTCTGGTAGAACTGAACCATTTGATTCGTCCTCGGTAACTGACACTGGACTCGGACGGAACCAGCGTGGACGGTCCAGGAGCCGCTGACGATTGGCGAAGGCTATCGAAGTCTTGTCCTTCGGGCCATGGATAGCGAGCGAACATCACTGGAAGACAGTTGAGACAGGAAGATTCTGATGCAGGATAAATCCACAAGTCTTATAATAGGTTTACTTTCAAGACGGTTTGTCAAAGTACATGGAAAAATGGTGAATAAATAAGATTCTTTTTTCACCAGCTTGATCACTAAAATCTTTGATAGTTTGTGTTTGCACTCACGTCTACACCGAGTTACAACCGGTGCTGAGGATTTATAAATCCATCAGTATGTAGCCACTTGTTGTGATTCAAACGGAGATATGTTCTCATTTGCTTGATTTCTTCTCGTTCGAGTAACACACGAGGTGATTATTTCCTCAACCCCAGTTTGTTCCGTATAAGCACTGCAATAATCCAAGTGTCGAGATCCCAACGAAGAATAACAAAAAATCCACCTGATTTAACTCACTTTTATCCAAATCCACCCTGGTAACATCTTTTAACATCTTTTGTATGTTTGGATGTCTTGTCTTTTTTTCACAGAATTTCATAAGTAATTCTAAAGATGGCTGCACGGGAATTTTCGCAACCTTTGGGTGATTTGATGCGAACTGAAAGTATCTAAAGCTAGGGCACTCTATCCGGGATTTCGTACACACAACCCTGGGACATCTTGACGTCACGTCCAGCAATCTTGACGATCTTATCGAGACCTTTAGAAAAGGTTGGGGCGTCTACTCAGCAGACCAGATCCCTAGCGTTGCTATGTTACGATTTTCTGATAAGAACCTGAAGATGTCCGGACGTGAGGTTATATTATGGAAGGAAGTGTTAAATTCTGGGACAGTATGTGTAATGACTGTGTGCCTTTGGGACAACACTTGAAACACAGTCTGGATATCCTCAGACTTCATATTGAACATGTCCATATTCTCACCAGGAGATGTGACAATGAAAAAAGACTCAGTGCGTGCTGTACATTTAGAGAACAACAAATGAACATGTGAGTATCTTTATCAACAGTGGAACCCACAGCAAATGAGTATACAAACTAACCCTCTGTGGTCAGTTTGGTAAGAGTGAACACAGCTGTTCAGGTAAACTGAACTGATTTTGAAACCAGGTGAAATGCCCAAACGGACGGCGTGGACGCCTTTGCCAAACTCTTCAAACTACTAAATAAAATCCGAGCCAAGTTACCTACCGACAGAACTATCTGAAACGTTGAATGAAAATAAAACTGCTCAGGCACATTGCTTGTGGCGCTATTATTCCACCGTGTAAGCTGACCTTAAAAAGAATTAGGAGTGAAAACAATCCTAACTCAGACATGGGTAGCCAGAGTTCTACTCTGATCAAGTTTACTACAAGAAAACAGTGGGCAAACTGAACATGATTCGACTAGCTTCAAAAGTCCCTGGCCTAACAAAATATTCTCATCGATTTTCAGCAACCTTATGAGTAGTACATTACAAAAATATTCTTAGTTTTTTGAAGCACTGAAAGCAGACCTAACCAGGCCAACAGAAGAGGAGCAGTGCACTCTACACTGGCTCATCGATGTAGCCCCATCATGATTGTTATCTGTAATAACCGCGTACTCGTCATACAGTGGTTGTAGCTGCTGCAGTTTCGTTCACCGATGATTTGGGAGGGGGGTAGGTAGCTGCGCATTGCAGGCGGGAGATGATAAATTGGTGTATAAATCCAGCACTGCCAGTGGGCTGTCGAGTGGGGGAATTGGGAAGGGAGCTATGCATTGAAGACAATAGCTTGGATGCACAAGTCTACTTGTTTACTAAGCTAATACTAGCCCAAAATGCAGAGTTGTTGGTATGTCAAATATAAGGAAGTCACTGTGAAGATCGAAGTATATATATGCACCTAGGTATCCGAATTTTATAGCCTCTGTCAAATGGGAATTTCCGCAGATTGGAGTTTGGTAGGAATGGCAAAGGACTGAGTGTGTGACTCCAAGATCATACGTTTTATGTCAATAGTCAAACGGAAGTCACGGAGGTAAATGCCTCGGTGATTATCTGTGAGGGACTCGAATGCGGCACAGATATATTTTTAGATCACCAAAGATCAATCACTCTGCCGAACATTTGTGCACCAAATCAGTGCCCTACAAAAGCTGAACAATAGTGATTGTCCTAAAGCCCACATGGACCGTATTTTGATTAGTGTTATCAACTCAGCTATTGTCATTCATAAGTGTTTTCTAGCACCAGACTGTATCAATACTGTCGACAATGTGCAGCTTGAATGCGTCTGGTTGAGTGCATATTCTATTAGCATATTTTCTACCCACAAGACGGATTAGAAAAGCCTTCACCTCGGATACCCATCTGAGCGCTGTGTTTGGATTTCCTTCATTGAAGCCTGGGGCGCGTCAACCTTACGGAACAGCTACAACAGCCGTTGAACGTCTGAAAACGAGCTGCGTGCATGTGCGAATGCCTTCAGCCCAGACTCGTGCCCCGCGCCTGATCCCACAGGCATGTTGACAACGCCCCGTCGTGGCAGGATGTGAGGGCACGTAAGTAAACCGCTGTTATCGGTCACCGCTACAGTCTTTCAAGAGGACGGAGCGAACTTATGACGGAGCTGGACTGTGGCCGCAATCGGGAACTGGCAAATCAATCAATGATTTGTAACCCGTTTTGGCATACTTCATCGCCTCACAACCAGATTTAAGTTGGAAACCGTGTCGTAAAGCCACTTCACGCAAGGTGTAAACCGTGCAAATGATGAAAATGAAACTTCGATTGATATGTGAAGCCAGATTTTGTACCATACCGTGAAAGAGCAACTGTCCAAATCCATACAGAAAAAGTTACGAGGTTCCGGCTGAAGCACCATATCCCCAGAGTCGGTTTGAAAGCTTTGCTAAATGTTGTGTGCTACTATGTTGTTTTTAGTGCATCAAAAACACTCAAGACAAAGTATGGCAAAAGTGAATCGAGAAGACCATTGAACAGGGAAGCGTGATCCAATCACAATTGACAATTTTCATCATAGCATCGGTAATGATTTTACGACTGGTCTCGTGAAATTTTTAAGCAGGCGCTGACAAGAACTGAGCTGACGTACGTCATTAGATGGCAACATCAAACTTCAGTCATGCGGATACAGTAAACTGACTGTAACTGAAATCTGAATGATGAGTCCTTCCCAGCGAGAACTACACTTTGTTGGTTCTTTAAACAGTATACCGAACGGAAAGCTATCAAACAGACCATCGGCAGATCACAACGAGTTTCCCATACTTGTTTTTCAAGGTCACACGAGCCTTTTGGGTGCTAAATATTCTAGGCTTTTTCTGGGAGTAGTGACATGACTATCAAGTTTTAGTCCCATATTTTAAATGGCAAGTTAAAACCAAGCCGTTTTGCAAAGCCAACTAGCTCATACCTTGTTCAAATCGCCAAGAACGCGCTTCTTTAGAGAACCAGACGAAGCCTTTATTCATTTTAACCAGAATGTGGATCAGGTGCTCATGGTGTGGTGATCGAATGCTTCATTTCGAATCATCCGAAACAATTGTGAGATGCTCATCGCTAAAGATTTTTAGTAAGGGTGAATCAATTCTACAATTCTTCATGGCTTTCAACGCAGGTTTTCTTTCACTTTCAGGATTAAATCCATAAATTATAATAGTTCTTTGAAAACCAATGTGATATGTAATCCCTGTGCCATCTCAATCCTGACTGATTCTCCAAGCCTTAACAAACATAGCACTTGTACTGGACAATGAAATCCTGCTTCGCTTCAGGCTTTCAATGACCTGAGTTGGGTCACGAGGGCGAACCACACTGAATTCCAACTTTTTAGCAGAGTTTCTTTCTATGTGAGCTAGCCCAAGTTTGGAGATTATGTGCTCTGCAAGCCAGGACAGGCCGACCGTTTTGCACTACCTGTGAACAACTGCATGTCAATTGCAAGGAGATGGTTAAATTTAGTAAATTTAGTAAATATACCCATAAGGAAACCAGCTCTAGATAGATGTAGACATTCGATTGGCACATACGGTACGTTCTGGGTCCCCAACCCCTTCTGGATGTCCACTTAAGCCATCAGCGCCCCACTATCCCAAATAGTCTACTGAATATTTTAAGAAGTTCCTACAGCTCAGCTGATGTTGCGCCGTGAGGCTGAACCTTCCAATCCCTAGTGCCCATCTGGTTTGTCGTCCTCACGGATCTTTTACAGAGACTGACGAGGTTAGGGATTTACGGTCCATCTTGACGGCAAATATGGTGGCAAAAAGATAGCTGCCTTACTTTTCGAACGCCCGCACCAATACAAAATACTTTATGGGACGTGGGATAGTTCCTTCCTGCTAATGTGAGTGATTGGCTAACACAGTCCATTTTTCCGGATGACTGCGACAGGATCACCCCAATTCTAGCCTAACTGGTATCGATTGACAATGAAAACATCTCGCTGAGCGTTTCGCGTTGGATACCATGCTATGCTTCGGCTGCTTTAAAGCGCTCCTCGGCCCTCTGGTCCCTCCAAACTATTCATCATTTTACAGTGACTGAACTAGTAGGCTAAGTTATGACTAGCAGAACTGTCTCTCTGACCTTGGGGAATGGTAGTTTATAATGCTCTCCAATTCCTCTGGAAGTTTCTCTGCATTTTTCCTTTCATTTGGCCAAGAGATAACCGATGGCAGTCTGCCGTTTCTTGCTACTGTGTTCCAGTTCAGCGTTTCATTCTCTGAAGAACTGTTGTGAGTTTGTCTGCTTGCTCTTTCTTCACCTCGGCATACACCTAAATATCAGTAAACTTGAACACCTTCCTCTTCATCGACGATTTTCAGCAAAAGTAGTCTGAGCTGTGCCAGAGCAGTACATAAGCCAACAAGGACCCGTAAGCCTCTTCATCGACGATTTTCAGCAAAAGTAGTCTGAGCTGTGCCAGAGCAGTAAATAAGCCAACAAGGACCCGTAAGATCTCCTGGTGCTGTCACTTGGTGCAAAAAGTAGTTTTACTCTAACCAAGAGCTTAGCGCATTGCAGCAAACGAAATCACTTTGTTGACGTGGAGGTGCGTCGAAATATCGCTCGTTGCCGGTAATAGGAAG